AGTACATGAAGAGGATGACTCTGCCCACCACTAGTGGGACAAACTTGTGTTGTTTTGTAGTTGTGGTGACATAACTTCATGTTCTGTTTTCTAGTCATCTTCTACCACATCTTTGAAATGAATAAAGCTAAGTGACTTATCTTGGTTGGGGTAGGAAGAGAAACTAAAATCTAATTTTTTCTTTGTTTTGTTTTATTTTATTTTATTTTTCCCCCACTACCATTTATCCCCTATACCCTCTTCCCCGTCTACCCCTCCACCATTACATAATACAATTAAAAATAAAACATATATAAACAGAATCAATATAGTCTTTCAGTAGAGATGATTTAAAAAAACTTAAAAGAATTTTTTTTTTTTTCATTTTAGAGAGAGAGGAAGGGGGAGGGAGGGATTAAGAGAGAGGAGGAGGAGAAACATTGATCGGTTGCCTCTGGTTGCCTCCGGTTGCCTCCAGTATGTGTTCCAACTGGGGATAAAATCTAAAATTTTTGAGCATCTTCTGTGTACCAAGTACTGAACCAGGCAAGTTCTTTACAAGTACTATCTTAATTAGTATTCATCAAGTCTCTGTGAGGTTTACAGATGAGGAAACTGAGGCTCAGAGAGATGTTGCAAAACGCATGCAGTATCACAGTTTGTCATTTGAACACGTGCATGTCTAATTAGAGTCCCTATTATTCTATATCCTTCTGTCTCTTGAGTTATAGGTGGTTAACCCAGGACCTTGAATTTGTGGGCACTAAACTGGCAGGGAATAAAAGGTACATGTGGACTTGGGCAGTAAAGAAGAAAAACCATGTTTCTGGTACTAACTGCAGGTTCATTTCCCGCCTTTTAAAACTACATGCAATTAGTCAACCAGCAGTTATATCAAACATTCCCTATATGTGCATTTAATTCTTCCACAAAATATAACCCTATGAAATACAATAAGGGGGAAAACATGCTAGATATAAAGGAAAACATGTTTCAGTCTTCAAAATAATTTTTAATGATAGTGTCATTAATGTGGTTATAGTTTGGGTAGTTTAAACTCTTCTATTTTATGCCTCAAACTAAAAGTCCTTAAAGATGGTTTCAAAAAATATGAGTGAATTTTTTTCTTTAGCTCCGTGTCCCATGAAACTGACTTGTCAGATGTAGCTCTTTTGCAAATTTCTGGGTCACAGAGCAAGGGGTGATGACTCCTGTGTGCTAAGGCTGCAGCTGGGAATCATGCTTTGGCAAGAATATGAGTAATTTATATCTTGTAAAGAGAAAAGTATTGTCTTATTCCAACCAGATAGTTTGTTAGCATAACTGTTTGTGTGCATTTTAGTATTCAAATACAGATGTTTCAAAATGTTTCCACTGTGGGAAGCAGCTGCTGCTATTCAGGCACAAAAATCTCAAAGAGATTAATATACAAAGGCAGTGTGAACCTTAGTGGCAAATGCAGCATCTGCTTGAGGTGGGGCTTGTGATTCCCCATAGATATGGGTCTTCAGATTCTCGTTAACAGCCTGAAACCATGTTTCAGATCTAAGCTTATTCTACAGGAACAGGAACAAAGACAAGTGATTAATTTGTAATTCACTTAGCTGATAAATATCATCACGGGTTATTTGCTCAGGGGCTGTAAAACACTGGACTTTATTTCCTGTGGCAACTGATAGGAATATAGATGTTTGGTCATAATGACTGATGTTTTCAGTTGCCATTACTAGCTTCTGCTTGGTAACAGAGTTCAGCCCAGCCAGCTTGCAGTCATAAAACATCCATCCACACCATAGAGATGCATTCACAGAGAACTTTGCAGTTTACTCTGGGCACTCACATGCACTGCTTCATCTGATCCCATCCTAGCCCTGGAAAGTGGGTACTCTATCATTATCAGCACCATTCATATATAAAGTAAGAAGTGAAGAAGTGAAATGACTCAGACAGCCAGGGCCTCTGACTGTAAATCCTGTTCTATTCTTTAAAAAAAAAAAAAGTTTATTTATTTATTTACTTATTGAATTTATTGGGGTGACATTGGTTAATAAAATTATATAGGTTTTAGGTGTACAATTCTATAATACATCATCTGTATGTTGTATTGTGTGTTCACCACCTCAAGTCAAGTCTCCTTTCATCACTGTTAATCCTCCCTTTACCCTCTTCTACCTCCCCCTACCCCCTTTTCCCTCTGGTAATCACCATACTGTTGTCTGTGTCTATGTTTCTATTCATTTAAAAAAAAAAATCATTATTGATTTCAGAGAGAGAGGAAGGGAGAGGGAGACAGGTAGTTGAAACATCAATGATGAGAGAGTCGTCACTGATCTGCTGCCTCCTGCATGCCTCGACTGGGGAGGGCATGCACTCTGACTGGGAATCGAACCTTGATCTCCTGGATCCTAGGTCGATGTTCAACCGATGAGCCATGCCTGCCCAGGCTCTGTGTTCCATTCTTATACAACATCAAACTGCCTCTCGAATTTCAGAGACTATTATGTGTGCTTCGTAAATTATATCATCCTTTCTAGAGATGTTGGTTTCTAGGACACTGCCATGAGATGTCCCCAGCCTAGCTGCACTGCCTGGTAACTGGAGGGTGCCAGGGGAGAGCTAATGCAGTACTCCTTCCCTCTCTCCCCCACATCCCAGAGGGGAAATGCCCCAATACTCACTTTCCTTATGTTTGGAGAGCTTCAGCAAATGAGCTCCTATGTCTCCCTGGCACTTAGAGAAATGAAGACCCGGAAGCTGAAGATCCCAGGGCTGTCATTTGGAGTTGCCATAAACCAGAAGCTCTTAGGAACAGTTACGCCTGGGGTGTTGTGCCTGCCCCAGGCCTTATAAATCCATCCTGTGCTGTGTTCAAGGGCTCATTGCCTCCAACCAGATCTACTGTTTGGAATTATCACATGAATTATGTATGGTTTGCACATTTGACGAAGGTACATAGCTGAGTTTCAAAACACTCAGGTCCTGGCTTATGGCTTGGGCCTAGAAATGTCTGTCTAGGAAACTGAGGCTCAGAGAAGTTAAATTTCTAAAGGTCCCCAGAGCTAGAAAGGGCAGTGCAGTTTTGAACCTAATGTGTCTGATTCTAGGTTATACTAGCTCCACAGTCACAGAGCCATGTGTTTTACTTTGAGGGCAACAAAGATTTGCAGGTAGGAGGGCTTGTGGACTGTGCCCTGCTCCCTAATCATGCTTGTGTGGAGAAGAACCCAGACAGTGAGGTGGGGAGAGCCAGCTACAGAAGTAGAGGAAGGAGGCTGAGTCCCTGAGCTTGCAGCAAAGGAGGAAGAGGAGGTTGCCAGGCAGGGGAGAGGAGCTGTGAGTGGCAGAAGGCCTATGCACAGTGAGTTGATGTGAAGTTCTAACCTCCAGTCCCGAAGAAGCTCCCAAAGTGGGAACCTGAGGCCAGTACATGTTGAAGTGGCATGCTCTTTGGTGAGCATCACTGCTGCTTCTGCCAAAATTACACTGCTACAGCATTGTGACTGTCATGGAATTGTTTCTGCTCAGAAAAAAATGAAAATGTAAATTTGTAAGTATTTATTTCCTCTCTCTTTCCTAAATCTTTTGTTGAAACATCCGTGAATGATAAAAGCAACTCGAAAGGGTAGGACACACCCTTTGCAAACACATAATTTGCAAGCATCATAAAGATGGTCAGTGCCTCAGTTATTTTGATCAAGAACTATTTCACAGGCAAAGAAATAGGGTAGCAAATCACTCATCTATAGAATATTAATAAAAGTGTTCTGAAGTGTACAGACATAGAACATATCTCATAAAGGAACACTCTTAGTTCAGGTGGGACAGCATCCTTCATTGTTCCTCCCTAGCCTGGAGGCCCTTGTGAAGACTACTTACCTACTTGTGACAGGGCATCCTTTGTTCTACCAGAACCACATGTGCATGTTAGGAAGAGGAAACAATATGAAGAAAGGGGGCTACATGGCTCTAGCTGTAAGCACATTATAAAGGAAGCCTCTAACTTACAGAATGAAAAGAAAGGCAGAAAAAGCCCAGTGTAACTCCCTTTAGAAACTAAAGACAAGAACCTAAGACTGTATGCACTTGGTAAGATTTTAGAACCTGTATAACATCTCCTTTATTATTTTTGTTGTTTCTGTTTGGTTTACTGTCCTTATATAGAGTCATTTTCATTAAAACTTTTCACACAAAAAGGGCTAGTGCACTTTTCTTTAGACAAGAAATGCACTAGTAGCAAGCACTGTTTGGGGAGTAGGAAGATAGCATCTTTCTGCACAGAGGCTGGGGTCAGAAGAGCCTCTGGGCAAGAAAAACAAAGCTGGAAGAGCCAATGTGGGCCTGAAAAGGGGTGGTGAGGCCCAGTGGGGACCACTCCATTCAAAGGTATAGTTTGTAACCCACCCATTACTTTCCTTTGGGGTTTATCTAAACCTAAGCCCTCCACAGTTACCAGCACTGGTGAAGTCACATTAAAGGAACAAAGATAAGGAAACAGGACCCTCCAGTGGGTCTTAAGTCACAAAATTATCAATCATCATTCTGAACTTATCCCTTACCATTAATGTGTCCATTTACTTTGGGAGAAGACAAGGCTAGATAAATACCAGGAGTGCAAAGAGCCAAGCATGTATTTCTCCTATGAATATCCTGTGCTATACTATAATTAATTTTGGTTTTCTTCAACATTTTCTTCAACTACAGAGGTTAATAGCTATTAATATAGCTATAATATCATAATACTAGAAATATCATTAAGTCTTTAAGATGAAAGTTATATGGAGTACAACCTGTTTCTGTGAGATTAGGTATTGAAAGTTACTGGTTAAATTACCATTGTCTTTTATTAGGAACTTGCTGTTTGGATGGGCTCTTTTTCAGTTCTGCATAGGTCTGTGAACCACTGATATAAATCAGGGGTTGGATTGGATGGTTACAGGCAATCTCTGTAACATTTTATCTGCTGAAACAAACCAAAGCCATTTTCTGATGTGCTTTCATTTCTCTGCCTTGTCCTTCTCCAGGCAGCTTCATCTGCCCTGAGCAGTCTGGGCCATGTGTACACAGCCATTGGAGACTACCCCAATGCACTGGCTAGTCACAAACAGTGTGTTCTTCTTGCCAAGCAATCCAAAGATGAGCTTTCTGAAGCCCGAGAACTCGGCAACATGGGAGCTGTGTATATTGCCATGGGTGACTTTGAGAATGCTGTACAGTGTCATGAGCAGCATCTGAAGATAGCCAAGGACCTGGGCAACAAACGAGAGGAGGCCCGGGCCTACAGCAACCTGGGCAGTGCCTATCACTACAGGAGGAATTTTGACAAGGCCATGTCTTACCACAACTATGTGTTGGAGCTGGCACAGGAGTTGATGGAGAAGGCCATTGAGATGCGGGCTTATGCTGGCCTGGGCCATGCTGCCAGGTGCATGCAGGATTTGGAGAGAGCTAAACAGTACCATGAGCAGCAGCTGGGCATTGCTGAGGATCTTAAAGACCGGGCTGCAGAAGGACGAGCTTCCTCCAACCTGGGTAAGGATAGAATTGCTTGCAAGACCCAGGGTCAATTCCATGGGCTGGAAATAGCTGGAGTAGTCCACCATCTTTTACAGAAGTCTGTGTGTTTATATTCAAAAGAATCTCCTCATTGTGTATGCTGTATATTTCTTTCAGATATATTTCCTTGGAGCCTGCCTGCTCTAAATCACATGATCCTTCCTGTCATCACAGTGCTCTAAGGATTAGAACTCTGAAATACTGGAAAAACAAAACACCCCAACCTTTTAATCTGTCTAGAGAGAAGAGTTACCAGATTTATCTAATTAGAGAGAAGGGGAATGAAATGAGGATATAAAGCTATGTTTGGTTTAAATGAAAGAGAAGCTGCTAGGAAATCATCAATGAAAGAGAATTTGAGACGATTTTTGTTGAAAGGGGTTTCTTTACTTGGTGACTTTAACTCCACAGGAAGTGTATTTTTCCTCAATAGTATGTATATTCACCAATGATACTGATAGTTTAGTATAAATGCAAAATTATGTTTTGAAAGATCTATTGAAATAAGATTTGCAGTCGCTGTTTTAATACTACTTGGTTACAGTTAAGACTTACACATTTGGGTGAATTTATATAGTAAGAGAAGATAAATATTGATAACTGGCTACTTTTTAGGAAGATATTGTTATCTTGCCTCTATACCCAGATACTGGTTCATAATGAGTGGAAGGAACAGATGTGTTTGGAAGTATAAATTGAACTCATTCCTGTGCCCACGCCCCGTGGTTTGTTCTGTTCACAGAGACGCTCAGGGTGGGGCGAGGACAAGGAAACAGTGACCTTTTTGGTATTAGTGTAGGTTTATCAGAGATTAGTAGCAGCAGAATGTAAAATCAGCCTCTTATGTGACCTACAAAACCGAAGTGCCTCATCTCTATGTAATTTAAGCACTGCTCCTCCCTCTCCCCACCTCTGCTTATTGTAACCATATGTTTCATGAATATGGTTGTTAGAAAAAGTCTGGAAGATCCCTGGGGTTGACTCTGACGATGGTATTAAGATCAGAATGAGAGTCTAGAGAGTCTGTAAGAACTATAGAAATAAGATCTTGGCCTTATATATTCATTCAGTGGAGCAGGTATTTATTGAATCAGTCATTTATTGAATCATGTGCTAAATCCTGGAATAGTTGCCTTAAGGGATAGAGAAGTTAAAAAAAAAAAAAGAAACCTTGCCCTCAAAAAGCTTATAATTTAGTTGGGGAAATAAGACTAATGCATAGGACAACAGTGGCCTCCCTGCAAGACAGTGTAATGATGTTGTAGTGCCATGAAATTCCTAGAAGGGAGACCATGAGGGCTGGAAATAGTCTAAAAAGCTTCTTGGTGATTAGACCCAGGTAGACCTTGAAGAATAGGTGAGATTTGGCCAGGAATGGAATGGCATTGATGGTAAGGAATATGGAAGAAGGTATGAGATGCAGTAGGTTGGCATATCTGAGGGATGGTGGCATGATTAGACCTCAGGAATGTGCTAGAGGGTGGTAAAAGATTAGTTTGAAAACTAGGCAAGGGTTATGCTAACCAACAGGTACTCCTGAAGGCTTTGAAATGTAGGCCTAAGAAGAAAGACTAGATATTTAAGGAAGACAAGTCAAGTAGTGGCACATAGGATAAATTGGAGAGCTTAGAACCTGGAGTTTAGATGGCTGTGTATATTGGACTATTCAGATTTTCTTTATCATTTTGTATCAGTTTGGGTTAGTTATGTTTTCTAAAGACTTTGTTCAGTTCATCTAATTTATTGAATTTATTGGCAAAAAGTTCTTTATAATATCCATATTTTCCTTTTAATGCTTGCAGGATATATAATGATGTGCCCTCTTTCATTTCTGTTATTGGTTGGTTGTATTTTTTTACACTTGTATTATTTTCTAGATCATTCTAGCTTGAGATTTATCAATCTTCTTGAGCTTTTTAAAAACTTGAGTTTTTGTTACTTTTTTCATTGCTTGTCTATTTTCTGTTTCATTTATGTCCAGTCTCTTTTTTATCATCTCCTTCTTGCTACTTACTCTTTCTCGTTTCTCAGAGTTGAACCTTAGGTCATTGATTCTAGACCTTCTTTCTAAGACAAGTATTTAAAAATATAAAATTTCCTCTAAACACTGCTATAGGTACATCCAATAATTTTTGATGTATTAGGTTTTTACCTTCAATAAGTTAAAAATATTATCTAAAATAATTTGTGATTTCCCTATAACCCCTATGTTATTTAGAAGTGTTGTTTAATTTTAAAATATTGGGGATTTATTGTTATCAAATTTTAATTTCATTTCATTGTGGTCAGAGAACATATTTGTAGGATGTATATTGTATTTTTTATCTCTAGAATTTACAGTTGTTTCTTTTAATGATAATTTTAGTTTAACTGCTAAGATTTATGTGTTTATTCATTACATGTATATTTTTCTTGACATAGCTGAGCCTAGTTATTATGAAAGATTTTATTTTATTTTATTTTTCATGTGTGGATATTGCTTTATTTTATTCTTTTCAAACCTATTATAGCAGCAAAGAATAAGCATTAGAACACAGCCCTCGGTGGTGACTGCTTCATGCCCTGCATAATGAAGGGGAGGAAGGCTTTCAGCCATTCTCAGTTCAGGGAAACAAAAGCTTTTAAAACTGTCTGCTGCCCTAGCTGGTTTGGCTCAGTGGTTGGAGTGTTGGCCCCGGACTGAAGGGTCCGGGCCTTGATTCCAGCCGAGGGCATGTACCTCAGGCGCAGGCTCATTTTCCCTGGCCCAGATCGCAGGGCGCATGTGGAATTCTCTCTCTCACATCGATGTTTCTCCCCGCCACACATACTCTCTCTGAAAAGCAATGGAAAAATATCCTCGGGTGAGGATTAAAAAATAAAAAGCAAAAAACTTGGTCTGCTAATTCTATGGTCCTTTTGGAGTTAGCCCATTCTGACTACCTGTGGTTTTGTAACAGCTTGTTTGAGATGTGATTCACATAGCATACAATTACCCATTTAAAGTAGATAATTCAGTGGTTTTCAGTATATTCACTGAGCTGTGTGTTGATTGATTGCCTTTTGTACTGAGTATTAGTGACATTTTATTGTTTCTTTGTATATCCTATATCCAGTAATGTGGGATTATATCCAACACTGTGAATGATACTTTATAGAGATTCTGGATTCTGATATATTTCTCTTAATATTATTGATTTTGTTATTGTTTTACCAGTTAAGTTGACTGAATTTGGGCTCCAAATTCAGTCTTCCCTGTGGTGGGTGGCAGTTGAAATCTCTGTTCAGGTCTTTTAGCTTTAACTGGGGTGCTTAGATTCTGTCTTGCACATGCATATTTCAAGAGTTAGACCGAGATTCAGTTAAAATTTATACTCAGAATTCAAGGCTCCCCACTGTGGCTCTCTCTGGGATTTTTCCTCTGGTTCTTCAAGCCAGTAAGACTCTGTTTCTTCCTGAATGTTAGCCTCATCACACGATATTGAGGCCTGCCCTTTGGGAAAGAAAAGATGCTCATTGGCATTGCAAAAATGGGAAGCTTACCCAATGCCATTCCCTTCTTCAAATGGTCAGCTCCAGCCTCCCTTCAGTTTCTCACTGCTTGTGGTTTTGCTTCATTGCCTTTAGATAGATTCCTCCTCCATGCCTGTGACCCTCTCCCTGCACCAGACTTCATAGTTATTATTTATAGGAGGGTTGGATTGAAAGGAGCTACTCTTCCATTACTGGAACCAGAACTCTTCCTATTCATTTTTAACCCATTGCAATTTGCCTTGCTTCTTTTGTTCCCTGAAAAAGATCAACAGTGATCTCCTCATGCTGACTTTTGTGATCTTTCAACAATTCTAAATTTTCCTAATCAGTATGCAGCATTGGCATACTTTACTGTCTCTTGAAATTCTCTCCTCTTCTAGTTTCTGTGAAGCATGCTCTCCTAATTTTCTTCTTGGCTGCTCTTTTTGTACCTTCTTCATTGTTTTTTTTTTTAAAAATGGACAATTTTTAAAAGTTACAAAAGTAGTACTTTTGTAAAAAAAAAATTCTTATATACATGTAAATAGTAGAAAAAAGAGAGCCACTCCCTTACATTTTTACCTTCCCCTTTCCCACTCCTCAGTGTTAACTACTATTAACAATTTGGTTAGAATCTTTCCAGACCTTTTTACTATGTACATAAACACATGGCAGTACAATCATATATGTAAATATACACGTGTGTACAGATTGTTCCTGTGTTTTATTCCTTGATTCTTTCTGTTTTTTCTGTATATATCTTCCTTTATCATTTTCACCACCATACCTTTAATTACTACTTCAACTGTGCACTGTTTCTGAATCTATATTAACCAGCTCTCACCTTATTCTCTTACAGTTCTGGGGGGCAAGAGTCTGAAATCAGTTTCACCAGGCTAAAGCCAAGGTATCAGCAGGGCTGTTTCTTCTGTAGACTCTAGGGGAGAATCAGCTTCTAATGACTGCCTGTATCCCTTGGCTTGTGGCTTTTTCTTCCATCTTGAGAGGGCATCACTACAATCTCTGCTTCTCTTGTCACATTGCCTTCTCTTTTGCCCTGACTTCTCTCTCATCCTCTTATAAAGACTGTTGTGGTTCTGTCAGGCCCACTTGATAACCCAGGGTGATCTCCTCATCTCAAGATTCTTAATCAAACCTGCTAAATCCTTTTTGCCATGTAAAGTAACTTTCACAGGTTCCAGGGAGTAGGATGACGGCTTTTGGGGGAGGGGGGGCGGCATTATTCAGCTTATCATACCATACAAACTTTGAAATCTAAAGTCATCATTGATTTCTTCCTTTTTATTTTTCCAATTTACTCTCAGTCTAAGAGTTTTCAAATAAATACTCTCAGAAAGGTTCTTTTCTTTCATTGCCTCTTCCTAATTGCCCAGTCTGTTGTATTAACTTGCTAGTTGGGTTTTCTTCACAACCATCCCACCTTCCTATGTTTTTTCCATCCCACATATCGGTAAGACTGATCT